GAGAACTGTATACAGTCAACTATTTCAAATTCTGTATACGTTTTATTTATTGGGATTATAAAGTCTAACATGGATATCGTGGGTCATAATGTGTGAATTCATAAAGATAGGTTTTTAAAAGTATATATACTGCAATTTTTTGAAATCACAAATTGACAAGCTTAATTTTATGTTTGTTATACTACTTTTGATTCTTGAGAAAATGGTAAAAAATATTGAAAAAGAACTTGAACTTCAGGCTACAACGGAGTCCGCATATCTCTTGTGAATAGTAAAATTTGATGATTTTTCAATAGAAATAAAAACAATTGTTAGTAGTTTTCATTGGCACGACACGATTGAAAACCAAAATAAATGTGTCATTTCAGGTTAGCATCAAAAATTATCTTGAGTCAAATACATTTTAGAGCAGTGTTTGTCCTATAAGAATATTACATTTCCTCCAGACTGCTTCACTGTATTGAAGTTTTTCTCTGTTCTCTCCCAGCGATTAGTTTTTTTTTTAGAGCAAACAGATTTTTCGGTAAGACGGAATTCTGACAATCAGAATTTCGAAATCGGAATTGGAACAGTATTGACAATTTTCCAGCTCTGCCTAAATTCTTTCAGGGTTTCAACAATAGCAAACTTCATGTGTTATTTCATAGTACGAAGGTCAGTGAATNTGGGTTTTGAGGAAAACAAAGATTTATTGAACTAAAGAAGATTTCATTTCCAATCTAATGTCATATCCAGGAGCACATATTAGCAATTTATCAGGTGCTATTTTCGTTTGCATTCGATCCGATAGCGTTTTTGAATTAATTCAAAAGTTCGGAATTTTTTCTGTCTCATAATTATAGGCCCCCCCCCCCCCCCCCCAATATAAAAATGTTTAATTACCATTAATTTTATTTGCACAAATAATTCGATTTCGGCATCCATTAGAAAGAGAAGACTCTCAGCTATATGCTGGGGAAAAAAAGCTAGCTAGCAAAGCTCCAGAGGAGCTGAAATGTGGAACTCACGTATATCCTTGAGGCTTGTTATCCTAATATCGTATCTCTAAATTGAAAAATTTCTGTCGACTAAGTTGCTTTCATAACTCCTTGCCGACAAGAATAATAATTTATCATTTAATTCTACATTTAAAACTGTGACTGCCTTTTTCATTTTAGCGCGTTCAATTTTTTTTATTATTGTTGTTATATACTCGATAATATTCATTTTTTTGTTTTTTTTTATTTGAAATTTCTTTTCACCGTCAATTGTTTCATGAATACGAGTGTTACAATAGTGCACTTAAAATGTATCAGCCATTCTTACGACGCTACTATAGATCTGATTTAATTCATCAATAATAATATTGTTTACTTCTCACACTAACAAAAAGATTGAATCATGTTTCTTGTATTCATCATACTATCAGCGCGAAGGATTAATATCTATTATCACTGTTCATTCTTGATTTTGAACATACAAGTTTAAATTGTTAAAAATGCCAACGATTACACTATTAAGAATTTTCTTAAGTATATATTAATTTTTTCAAATAATCATGAAAACAGTGAAATATTATATAGTGGTCAAACCCATATTCTTCATACTATTCAACTCTTTTTTTCTTGTTAAATAAATAAAGCTGAAGTTTTTTGTTTGCGGTTGCCAATGTCTGTAATGGGGAGGGGGGGGGGGGGTCCTACTATTATGAGACAGTAAAAATTCCGAACTTTTGAATTAATTCAAAAACGCTATCTGATCGAATGCAAACGAATATAGCACCTGATAAATTGCTAATATGTGCTCCTGGATATGACATTAGATTGGAAATGAAATCTTCTTTAGTTCAATAAATCTTTGTTTTCCTCAAAACCCAAGGAGGGGTCCTATAATTTTTGGACCCCCTATATTATCATCATCATCAGTTTAGTCAAGGACATTCTATTCAATGGGGTAAAATCTTATCGTCAACTCCTGATTTCGCCAATTGGCGAATGTCCATTAGTGATTCGTTCATTGGCGAATACAGTAATAAGAAAATTACCTAGATCGAGTGCTCTGGTAACTAGAAACGACTATATACGGCCGTTTAGGACGGAAATACGGCTACTTATCGTCGTACCTTTGCCGTATTTCAATGGGCCGTATTACGATCGTATGTCGTCGTGCCGTAAACGGCATAATACGACAACACTATACTACCGTAATTATGACTTCTCACAGCACCAATGTCGAAGGGCAATGCCGTACACGACATCGTTCACGAACATAATACTAGCATATACGGCTCTATACGACCGTAAATTCATCGTATACGGTTGTTTCCACTTTCGGCAGACCAGAACAAAGCTGAGGCATATGATAGTCATCAAGAAGTCTTTAAAGATCTTTTCTATAGTACTCCGTTTATACTCTCAGAAACTCCAGCCCAATCAGGTACAAAAATATATCGATAAAGATCTTTAAAAAGATCATAAAAGGTCGATAAAGATCTTGAAAGATCATTAAAGCTCTTTAAAGACCACTAAAGATCAATAATATTCTTTAAAGACCATTACAGATTTTTTCTTTCAAACATTGCATTTTAATCTCGAAAATACCTACAGTATAAGATACTCTTCACTGAAAGATCTTTCGTTATGAAGATATAAATACAAACATGAAAAATACCCTCAAAATCGGCACTTTCGTAAAAAAGATCTTTAATGATATTTAAAGATCTTTTCTTTCAAACAGGGTATTTTAATCTCGAAAATGCCTATGAAATAAGGTATTCTCCAATAAAAGATCTTTCTTTATCAAAATATAAACTCAAGCACGAAAAATAGCCTAACATCAGGTATTTCAATGATAAATATCATCAAAGATCATTAAAGATCTTTTTTTTCTGAAAATCGTAATTTTTCTCACAACTACGTTGAGAACTAAGTATCACTCAAAAAAGATCGCTCTTTATGAAAGTAGATTGTTAAGTTTCAAAAATACCTCGGAATAAGGTGCTTGAGGCAAAGAAGTGATTTTTAAAGACGGTGACAGATCGTTTCTTTTATGAATATATGTGGAAATCTCAGATTTAAATCCGAGAGTTATATGTACTTCAAAAACTTAATGCGACAGATAAGTCATCCTAGAATGTGTGGACATCAAAATTATCCTAGCAAACCTTTTCTATAAACACTTGATTGCTATTGGCTACTGCTCAACCAATAGGATTTGAGGCTGAATCGAACTCAGATTTGAACTCTTCGCCTTGATTTACCCTAAGAAAATCGTTTTCCCTATAGCTTGACTTCTATTGGTTACTGCTCAAGCAATGGGGTTTCGAGGTAGGTGAAGTACAGATTCGAATTCTTCAGCCCAGAAAACCTCAAGGTATCATCTCTACGACCAGAAGATAGAACTCTGATTGTGGATCATTTAGAGCGTGCACAAAAACAGAATCAATTTCTGTTTAATTATCTTTGTAATAGGTGGGTTAGCCTTCCTGTTTCTTTAAGTTTTATATATCATTTTGTAGCTCTTAAAATTTTCTATGGAATAGTATATAGTAGTTGGGAATTTATTTGATTATGATAGGAAATGTTTTTCACGAAAACAGGGATAGCTCGGTCATCGCATAGGAAATAATGACTATTTTCGCAATAACTCAGCAATGGCTCGACCAATCATTCTCATCTTCGAACTGAACCGAGATATTGTTGTGACAAAACTGTGTATAAAATTTCATCGTGATCTAGCTCTCCTTTCAAAAGTTATCGTGTAAACGGACAGACGGACACACTAACCGATTCTAGAGTGTACTCACTTTTTGAGTACACAATAACAAAAGCTGTATTATGATCATTAAATACTCCATTAAATAATAAAAATACTTTGGTGAGTTTTGAAAACACATTCTTGTAGTGGATGTGGCAGTTTGAAGACCTTTGTTTTCATTTAGATTCACATTGATAAACATCCGTGGTTAATGGAATATTCTGAAACAACAACTGAAAATACTTCTTCCTTTCATTTGAATTCATACTGTTGCAAAATTCATGTTAAGTGATTTATTACAAATCAACAATTGAACATTTTTGATTTGCCTTCACTCAGATTCGTACTGATTCAACCCAATTGGTAATTGACATATTTCAAATGAACAATTGGAAATTCTACTTCTTCTTCATTTTACAGATTCGAACCATTAGAACATTAGTTGTAAGTGATATGCTTCGAATGAGCCACTTAACATTATAATTGTTCTTTCTTAAGATTCATAGTAACTCAAAATCAATACTGAGTGTTGCATTTTAAATGGACCACGAAATATTCTATTTTTTCCTGATTTAGATTCTTACTGATTCCTTATTTTTGCTAGGTGATGTATGTGAAATAAATACAGGGTGGCCCAAAAGTCATGTTACCCGAAAAAAATTGAATATCTCCCTTGCGGCTCCAGTAAAGTAGCTGGTTTTTTTATCAATGATAGAGGTATCTTCAAGCGTTATATCTATATGAACAAGGTCAGGAACAACCTATGTTAAGTAGCACTAATGAACTGAACAAAGGAAATTTTATTTTTCCACAAAGAGAAAAAAAACAATTTACAATAGAGAAAGGACAGTTTTCTCAGATAAAGCGTGATAAACGAAACGGGCTTGCGAATAACACGTGTTGTGTATTCGTATATCTCTTTTGTCTGCGTTTTTCTTTCTGTTCTATTATACCTCACGTTAAAACTACACTCGATATAAGTCTTTTTTCCGGTATTGTTGGTCATATTCAGTTGTTGTTTCTTTCTACATGTTTTGTATATTCTCGGTAAGACATGTTCTTCTTTGTTTACATTTTCCATTGTATACTCAGTTCGTAACTCTGACTCTTCAAGCACATGTGTTTGTAGATGCCGAGAACTCTGACTAAAGAACAAAGAATTTTTGTCCTCAAACAATGGTGGATATCAGGAAAAACATCACAAACAGTAAATGCGGCTTTTCGAAATGAATTTCCTGGAGAAAAAAGTTCCAATTCGTCAAGAAATGTCTCGACTAGCAAAAACATTTGATGTGACAGGTTCTATCGAAGATGAACCACGAAGTGGCCGACCAATAACAGTTAGGACAGAAGAAAATAGGCAACTTGTTTCTCAAACTTTTCTTTTGAATCCACGAACATCACAAAGGCGTGCATCAGATGATCTTAATATCTCACGCACAAGCTTACAACGTCTTATGAAAGATCTAAATTTAAAACCATACAAATCAAGATTATTACAAGCCTTAAATGAAGATGATCCTGATCGGCGACTCGAATTTTGTGAATGGATCTTAGATTCAACTCAAGATGATCAAACTCTATTGGATCAAATTCTATGGACACACGAAGCTACGTTCAAAACCAATGGTCGTGTCAACAGACATAATTGCGTTTATTGGAGTGATACAAATCCACACTTTATCATCGAACAAGAGCTCAATGTACCACAAGTTATTGTTTGGGGAGGAATATGGTCAAACGGGGTTATCGGACCGTTTTTTTCGAAGGTAATGTCACATCAGAAAAGTACCTTCAGATGTTGAAGGACAATATAATACCACAACTTCGAGAACATTCAGCCTTTCAAACAATGATCTGGCAGCAAGACGGTGCACCACCTCACTATGGTCAAATTGTGCGACATTATTTAGATAATACATTTTTACAATGGATTGGTCGTCGAGGAACTGTTGAATGGCCACCACGGTCTCCGGATCTTACTCCATGTGATTTCTCACTATGGGGAATAATAAAAGATCATGTCTATGCTCAACAACCTCGTGATGTGAATCATCTAAAATTATTAATTGAGCAAGAATTTACACCGCTCAATAATAACATCGAATTATGCCAAGCAATCTGTCGTTATGTAGCAGATCGTTGTCACATGTGTATCAATACAGAAGGCAAACAATTTGAACATTTACTTTAAAATATTGCCCATTTTGTATTGACAAACTGTCCTTTCTCTATTGTAAATTGTTTTTTTCTCTTTGTGGAAAAATAAAATTTCCTTTGTTTAGTTCATTAGTGCTATTTAACATAGGTTGTTCCTGACCTTGTTCATATAGATATAACGCTTGAATATACCTCTATCATTGATAAAAAAACCAGCTTCTTTGCTCGAACCGTAAGGGAGATATTCAATTTTTTTTGGGCAACATGACTTTTGGGCAAGGCGGAAACATGATGCTTTTGTACTTTGAAGTACGCTAAAGTACCATAAAGTACGGTAAAGTACATTAAAGTACGTTAAAGTATCTTAAAATACTTTAAAGTACCTTAAAGTATCTTAAAGTATCTTAAAGTACGGTAAAGTACATTAAAGTACTATAAAGTATGTGAAAGTATCTATCAATACTAAAAACGTAGGACTGCTCGATATGGTGCTATACTTTCTTCGATAGGACGTCAAGGACTGAATATTCATATAGTAAGTAACTCGCAGCATTTTGATCGGATTGAAATGTTAAGCCGATTTCGTAACCTTTTACTTTGGTCAAGGGAAGGAAAGTTACTGTTTTCTCACCACAGACCAGGTGACTGAGAATTTGTTACTCTATTTTCTCGATGAGCGAGGGGTATTTCGTGGAAATAATGATTTTTATATAAAGTTTGACTGGAGATAATCGGGGTTAAGGAATTCGAACCTGTAATCGATTTTCCAAAATTCATTACCATAATTTCTGAATAAGGGAGGGATATTTCAAGGAAAACGGCGATTTTTTATAATGTTTGACCTAAAGTAATCGGGATCGAGGAATCCAAATCTGCAATCGGTTTGTCAAAATCGATTACTCTAATTTCTCGATAAGGGTGGGGTGTTTCGAGGAAATAATGATTTTTTTATCAAGTTTGCCCAAACGAAATTAGGGTCAAGGAATACGATTCTCTAATATGTTTCTAAGGGAGAGTGCATGAGAGAAACATGGAACTGAAATAAGGAGCAAAATTTTGAGTTTTGATTATTTCATATGCATTCGATAACCCATTATCTAAACACCGCCAAGCCTAATTTTTAGCTGATTTGGTTGTTCTATAGTAAAGTTGATCAATTTCCACTTTTGGCACTAATTGCCTACTGTCCAAAAAATATTGATAAACTGACCCATAAATGCCGACTAGGATTGTACTTGAACTAGGTAGAAATTTTTCGTACGACATACCCACAGATAGAGTATGAGAACTGAACAAAGTCAACTATTTCAAATCCTGTATACGGTCTGTTTATTGGGATTATAAAGCCTAACACGGATATAGTAGCTCATAATGTGTGAATTCGTAAAAATAGTTTTTTAAAAGTATATATACTGCAATTTTTTGAAATCACAAATTGACAAGCTTAATGTTATATTTGTTATGCTACTTTTGGTTATTTAGAAAATGGTAAAAAATATTGAAAAAGAACTTGAACTTCAAGATACAACGGAGTCCATATCTCTCTCGTGAATAGTAAGATTTTGATGATTTTTCAATAGAAATAAAAGCAATTGTTAGTAGTTTTCATTGGCACGACACGATTGAAAACCAAAATAAATGTGTTATTCCAGATTAGCATAAAAAACTATCTCAAGTCAAATACATTTTAGAGCAGTGCTTCTCCTGTAAAAACATTACATTTCCTCTAGACTGCTGCACTGTATTGAAGTTTTACCCTGTTCTCTCCCAGCGATTAGTTTTTTAGAGCAAGCAGATTTTTCTAAAATGTTATTAACACAAGGCAGTTTTCGATGGTAATTTCGAATGTTGCATTTATTTTGCTTTCCAGTCATGTCGTGTCAATGAATGCTGCAAATAATAGTTTTTTTTCTATAGAAGAATCATCAAAAGTTACATTTTATGAGATAGATGTGGGCCCTGATTTATTCAGAAGTTGAAACTTTTTTCAATAATTTTCTGCTATTATGTAGAGAATCAAAAGTGGCATGACATATTTAAATTCAGCGTGTCAATTTGGGATTTCAAAAATGGCAGTATATATACTATATAAGCCCCGTAAATGGATCGTATATAGAATTTGAAATAGCTGATTTTATTCAGCTTTTCACACTCTAACTTTTGTTATATCGTACGAAAAAATTCTCTAGCTTTTTGAAGTAGATTGGGATGTAAAAGCGCCGAAGAAAAAGATGTCGAAAAATTCTAGATCTCGTTATGAAATAATATTGATTCCTTTTTTTCTTATTTTGTTCACTAAAGCTTCATTGATTTGCTAATATTTTTCTCCAACACATCATTGTACGAATGAACATTGGAGAACAGCGAAAATACGAAAATTGTTTTTGTACAAAGAACATAGTCGTGGAATTATTTTCTGTCCATCTATCTACTTTGCTTCATTTAAGATATTGAAAGATATTCTTCCGCTTTTATCGTACTACTCTTTGATTGTATGATATCCATCATTAAAAGTGCCATATATTTTCTTGTTTTCAACAAATAGCTATTGTCTACTGCTGTCAAATGGTTTCATTTACAAAACCAGCAAACAAACCTCCTCCAAAATATATGAAATTTGTAAAACCAAGAACTTTACAGTACATGTGAGCGTGGATATGGGCTGTGGCTGTGTAGCTGCAACCACACCCACACTTACCCATACTCTTCTTCTCAACTTTTTTTCGAAATTTTTTTGTTCGGCCTTTTTTTCACATACCTTGAAGTATAATTCTAGTCGATATTTATGGGTCAATTTATCAATATTCTTTAGATAGTAGATAGATGGTCCAGGTAGGAACCGAGTGCTTTATACTTGAGGTTAACTTGGGCTACTGCACAGAACTTCAAGCTACTTTAAAATTCCAGTTTGGAATGTTTAAAGTATTTTTCTGTAATTTGAAAATACTTTGCTGCGGCTCAAAGTACTTTTGACATAATTTTACCGTACTTTATTGCAGATGAAGCCCACTACTTCCCTCTCGTAGGTAATGCAAAAACGTCAATCAGGACTACCTTCACTATAGAACACCTAAATGAACTAAAATTTTCAATTTCGTGATTTTAGATCATGAATTTTCGAAGACAGATAGAAATATCAAAATTGAAATTATGAGCAGTTTTATGGTTTCTTGGTTCTCTCGTGAACATTTTTAAAACTCATCACCCTACTTTCTCGGCAGGAGAAAAGCTATTCCTCGGGAATAATGCTTTTTCATAAAGAGAAATCAAGAGGAAGAATTTTGAGAAGCAGATTACAGATTAGGATTTCTCTTCCTCGACCCCGATTAGCTCTAATCAACTATTATAAGCAGTCATTATTTTCCAAAAATACCCACCCCTTATCCAGAATTGGGGTAATAAATTTTGAGAAACCGATTACAGGTTCGGATTCCTTAAATCCGATTACGTTTGATCAAAGTTTGTAAAAAATCGTAATTTCCTTGAAATATTCCTTCCTTATCGAGAAATTAGGACGATGAATTTTGATAAACCCATTACAGATTCGGATTCCTCGGTCCCAATTACCTTTAGTTAAACTTTATAAAAAAAATCATTATTTCCTCGAAATAACCCCTCCTTTATCCAGAAATTGCGGTAATGAATTTTTGAGGTACCCGTTACTTGGTAACTATTTTAGTGAGGACGACTGCCCTGTCCTACTTTTGTTATACTAGAAATGCTTCGTTCTTGTATAAATATTGTATTTTCGATCAGCGATTATCAATAATAGGAAATACAACATTGAAAACTACTACGCAGGATTTTCCTATTGTTGTAGGACCGCATGTGAAGCTTGAATAGTACACTATATTATGTTTGCTGATTGTAAAGTTTCTATTGGATAAGTATAATTTTAATATAAGGAGAAAGTTTAACTTGAGAAGAAGCGAAAGCAAATGGATGTGAATTAAATTACCTCAAATTACATAACTGGTGTTAAAGTATTTTAAAGTACATTAAAGTACGTTAAAGTACATTAAAGTACGGTAAAGTACGTGAAGTATGAAGTATCATGTTTCCCCCTTGCTTTTGGGCCACCCTGTAGTTCAATCTTCTACATTTTCTTCATGTATAGATTCGAACTATTTCACCATTACTGGTGAGCGACGGGTTTCAAATAAAACCCATGTGATTCGAACCGGAAAAAACTGGCGATATACCGCCGGTTGACCGTTCGGTATAATGTGCACTCTACCAGCAGTTAACCGGCGGTTTTGCCGATAGTTGCAAAAAAGAACGTTAGTATACCGGCGGTGAACCGCCGGTATTTACAGGTAGTAACGAACTAACTGGCGATATACCGGCACGACCAGGGTACGAATCTACTGATCCATTCTTACGAATCTAAGAATAAATGTAAATCACCATAGGCCGCAAATTGATGTACTGAATCTATTTAATAAAAATCCTCTTATTTTTTTATTTATATATCGAAAGTTTTTTTTGAGTGAAATTTAGCTGTTTCCTAGAAGAATTTAAATAACGATTACATTTCACTCAAAAACAACTTTCGATATATAAATAAAAAAATAAGATGATTTTCTATTAAATAGATTCACTAAATCAACTTGCAACCTCTGACAATTTACAATCATTCTTAGATTTGTCAGACTTCGAATCATAGATATGATTAGCAATTGTTGCTTCGTCGTTTTGGTAAATCGATTATTATGAGATTGATCTAAATTAAAGAAAAAAACATTTGTATTAAAAAATAATTACTTTTCTTTTTGTTGTTAATATTGCTCCAAACTAAGAAAAAAAATATTTTATAAATGAATACTCACTTTTCATTGTGATCTTAAAATTGATCTAAATGAAAGAAACAAATAACTTACCTAAATGCTGACTTTACCTCTTGGAGTTTAGTTTACTCTAAATAAAAGAAAAATATTATAATTTCTTTAATAAATACGTACTACATTCTTATGTTGAGAATTGTCTAAATTAAAGAACAAAATAGTCATCTATTTAGATAAACAGATGTATATT